CGGCTGGCTTTTCCCCTACATTAATAAAGCTGCCGTTGAGTTCTTTGGCTGTGTATCCTCTCTGTAGGTTGCGTCTAGCGTAGACGTCATAGTCACGAACGATGCGTGTGATGATGTCAGAGGTGGAGATGCCCTCGGTTCGCTGTGTGGGGGCAAACATACCTTGAAAAAAGGAGATTAAATAAATACATAAATAAATATATTAATTTACCAATAAATAAACCAATCCACTCAAAGATAACAACCCTACACATTGGTTCATTTTTGAGGAATCTTTATTTTAAAAGACTTTTTAATAATCTTATTAGTACAGTATATTATTGTTATCAATGGTTTACGCACCAAAAACGTACAACCATTGCAAAGGAAAAGGCTATGTATTTTAAGTCAAATACAGAGAGTCAAAAGTAATTCATATTGTTAACCTGTATTTTTGTTTTGAAGAAAATACTTGAAGCACACTCTGTACCAATTGTGGTCTGTGGAGGTGAAATAAACATTAAAAAATTCTTTGTAGGTACGTGTCTATGCAGTTCTGGCTTATAAAACCAGCTTAGAAAAAAACTCAAATTTTTAGCCATATTTGAAATAAAAAAAATTAATGCAGTTTCTCAATAATGACTAAAAATGCACTCATTTGCCTCAAAATACTTAGCTAAGTCATTTTTTGTTGTTAAAATTTAGAAAAATATACATTTTTGGTACGCCAACTTTTGAACACAGTAAATTACTATACTAATACGTTTCTGAAAAGGTCTTTAAAAATAAAAGTTTCTCAATAATGAATAAAAATACACTCATTTGTCTTAAAATACTTAGCTATGGCCAATTGTGTGGTTAAAAATATACATTTTTGGTACGCCAACCTTCGACCACAGTAAAATACTATACTGATAAGTTCCTGAAAAAGTCTTAAAATCTCAAAAATGAAGAAAAATGCACTAATTTGTCTTGAAATATTCTATTTTTACGATTAAAAATCTGAGGAAATATACTTTCTGGTACATCAACCTTTAATTACAGAAGAATATTACACTAATAATTTATAATATTTTACTTTGATCAAAGGGTCACGAGTTGTGACCCATGTCATTATTGACTTTAATTTACACAGGTTAATTTACAACCACTCTTTAAACATCTCTGTCTAGTTTCATTACTCTAAACCAGGGCTGCCTAATGAGTAGATTGCAATCAAACAGTAGTTCCCAAAAGCAGCCCTGGGTTAAAAATCTTCTTCCAGCAGTTTGACAGTCACCTCATGCTTCAATAGGAAAGTCGAAAATCTTGTTCTTCGAGCACCTTAATAGTTACTACCAGCACTCATCTTGTGGGGTCTGTGGACTCTAGACTCACCAGCCTCCTTGATGTGCTTGTACACGTCATCACTGCCAGCCGAGGAGTATGGGATGTCGTCATGGGCCACAAAGTCAATCTGGAGAGGTCATGACATCATATATATATGTATATATATATATATAAATGTAAGTCAGTCCTTGTGTGTGATTGCAGTTCATGTTTGGACCTTTTTGTCAACTCACACGGTGTTTTGCAAGAAACTCCGGCGTTAATGTCCAGGGAGCATTTTTCACAACTTCATCCACGTACCGGCAGTGTGTGACGGCGTCATACCGTTCATCTTCATTCATCACTGTGAAGCCCTTGTATTTATGGGTGAGGTCATCACTACACACTGTAAACAGGTAACAGAAAGTTACATTCAAATTTACAATTTTAAACTAAACCTATTATTCACCTGGTGGCATAGAAACCACAGACTGTTTCTACTGATTTCAGTGAACATACTAAAAATATAATATATAATATAATATAATATATATAATAAGAGGACAAAGCTAAGTACAGAGCTTGGTATTTGACAACATATCATTAGATAGGGCCATGTTTAACAGATTAGACTTCTTTTATCCTACACTGAAGAAATTGACCTGTTGCAGCAACAAAGGACAGGAAATGACACAAAGCACAGCGCTGAAGTAAAGTAGACAGTACAACTGACAATAATAACTTTTAAATGTAAAAATAGTGTTAATTATTTGACCCATTTAAGGACAGATACGTCTACTGAGGCAAACACAGTCTCACCTCCAACTATCAAGTGTGTATTTGGGAAGAGGCATTTGGCCTGCATTAGAGCTCTGGCGTGACCTGAGTGAAAAACATCAAAAATTCCATCTGCGTACACCCGCACTGGTCTGTTAACTGGACACAAAGAGAAGAGATAAACTGTGATTATTCTTTGTTTGTTCATGTGTGAAAAAGAGGAAATGTAACAGTACTAAAGGTCAGAAAATGTCTGAGACAACGTGCAATTGGGTGAATCTGATCTGACGGAAAAATCGTTCAGATGTACATTTTGGTGAGTGTTGCAAACAATAACCACAAATCATAGCATTATATTAGATTTTGTTTTCTCAAACCCAAAAATACATTTTAAAAAATGACTGAAGACCAAGAAACAGCAGATTAGACCTCAAGAGAATCTGACCTGGTGTCCCCCTCTTGGCCTCCTCCATACTGACTCTCTCATAGGGTTTCATGTCGGCTGGCTCCAGCTCATCTGCAAAAGGCGCTGGATGCTTCAGTCCCTGCAGAAACACATAATTTGTTTCTGCGCTAGTTTGCAATTATTAAAATTCCCGTTGGACTACAATGGTACAGTAGTGCTCTAACTGTAGGGCATGAAGTTCAACAGTTGGTTAGCGATAGAAGATCACTGAATAAAAGCTCAATACATCCATCCATCCATCCATTTTCATCCGCTTATCCATTACCAGGTCGCGGGGGCAGCAGTCGCCACCCAAATCACATTGCACCATACCAACCCGACCTAAACCTTCCTGCGGGTGGTGAGTCCACTGGAAGGTACCAACCGCCCTAACCGGGATTCGAACTTGCCCAGGAGGTGAACCCTGGGTTCCACACCAATGACAGAGACATTGCCTCTGGGCCAAAGCGCCACAAGCTCAATACAATTTCATTTAACTTTCATGCGGAGTAATGTATATACATTTATTTTTTTAATATTTTAAAGAGACTTTTGCCAAATACAAACACAAATTCACCACCAACTAACTTCAAAAGCCTGCAGCAGCGCTTGAAATGATTTAACCCTTGGATAGAAAGAATCTGTCTGTAAGGAATGAGCTGAGATTCCTCAGGAATGTTGCCTCAAGCTGGTGCCTGGCTCCCAGCAAAATAATGCAGAAAAGATACTTGTTGAAGAGATTTGGAATAGTTTTGAAACAGTAGTAGTCACTGAGTGACACTGAATCTGGACAAAAACAGAAAAAATGAGCAACATTTTTCACAATTGTTCACTGACTTAGGCTGTCAACTTTTACAACACCTTTGAACATGTTGCTGTTGTTTAAACAGCTGCAGACATTTCCTGACAGTTTGTGTTCATTTAAGAAATAGTGTAGTGAAACTGAGAGAATCACTATTAGTGAGTATTCAGAACCTCCAGTTCACTCCCTATAGCCAAGCAGCATGCAACCCATAATGCATCCCATGTGTGTCCAGAAGTCTTAGCTATACACAATGCATGCATTTATTTACAAATATATATTAAAGTTGATTTAATATATATTTAATTTGAAATGAGTGTGCCAGGGTACTGAGAACTATTTACGTTCTTCAGTTCATTCTCCACAGCAACTAGAAATGCCTGGCTTTTGGGTGGGAAATCTACTAAACTAAAAAATAATTGACTAGCCCTGAACTATTAAGAATTGAATAGCTAAAAAATAAAAAGTCAAAATTTAAAGTTCAGTGTATGGACAAATAGAGAGAGAGTGTGTGTGTGAGAGAGAGAGAGAGAAAGAAAGAAAGAGAGAGAGGGAGAGAGATTCAACCGTGTAAATAACAGCTGCCTCACCACAGTACATCTGGGGATTTTCACATGGCGTTCACCATCGTCGATCTCTGTTGCGGATGGTTCTCGTCTTCTTTTTCTCGTCAGCAACAGCCCGCTGGAGCTTTCAGCCTCCATCTCGGTCAAAGGCTGAGACAAACAATTACAACAGAGAACACATGATATATGCGTGTGTTCCATAATTTCTGTGAGCATCATATGCAGCACAGACAGAGTGTAAATCCACACAACTGCAGGGTTACGGAAGATAACATGCTGAGTCCGTTTCACCCAGTAAAAGAAAAAAGGGGGGCACAGTGGACCACAGAGATCCACCCTAACACTAACAACCACCAAGCCAGAATCAGGGAGTGCATTCTAAAAATAAAATATTAAAAATTCACTTTCAAAATACCACTTGAAATGACATTTTAATTCTAAAATAAGATGCATTTTGATATTTATAACTGAATACTAATATGCGAAATCACTTCAGTGATCAGATAAATGTCATCTCAAATATGCCTGTATGTATTTTTATAGAAAGGGTTGGTGTTTAAAATAGTCTGCCCTCGGGAATATTCACTTCCTATCTCACTATCATATTACAATAAATCAATAGCAGCTCATGCTGCACTGCCATTTCACCTGGCTCTTGTGTTATGGTCTCAAGCAGAGCTATATTGCAAAAGAAATAAATATAAGAAAAGAGGCCGCAGTTAATTAAAAACTTAAATTGAAAAAGGTTAAATTGAAGATGTTAAATTGAACTCTAGCCTCAGTATAACAAGTGAAAGACATGGAGGTATCACATATAGCAGTGACAGCTATCTGATCCAACACCAGGCACTTGTATCAGCACCTGGCTGTCTCTTTCTTTCTGCAGCAGCTGAGCACATTGTTGGTCAGAAGCCCAGGACAATTTTTACACACATTCAGACAACATTTCAACAGCCAGTATTAGTGGAACAAACACTGGAACAGGAAGAAATCTGAAAGGCCGGTTTAACCTGATAAGTCACCAACTGAGATTGATGGCCCAATCTGAAAAATATTTAAGTAAGACTCTCCAACAACACAGTGGGAACAGTGTAACATTAATGATGTTGTTGGGAGCTGGGGAGGATAAATATTAAAATATACCCTAAAATGCTTTGATCATTTGTAAAATAAAAAAATGTATCCATTTTCCTTGTGCCCTATAATGAATCATAAGGGGTTCACGTTTAGGTAATAAAATTGTTTACATTTGTATTTTTTTAAAATTTCTATTAAAACACCTATTAATATAAGCCAGCTAAATTATTGGAAATTCAAAAAAACTGTACAAAGAAATTTATATTTTTTGTTACAACATTAAATATTCTAGAGGAAACTGCCAAAACGTAGTGAGAACAAATCGTTACTAATAAAACATAGAAGAACTATACATGATCCTATAATTACCTGTAGAAACAAGTTGATTGGGGTTTAATTAGGTCGATGTAAAGCCCCCAAACAATTCACCAACTTTGAATAGTATTGCGGTTGAGGTACAACAATATATTTGCAAAATGTTAGGTTATGCTCCGGGGTCATGTCCTACCCCACTTCTGCACACAGATACTAACTTTGTAAACCTCAACACTCGTCGCTACATTTCCCATAAAGTTCCTGATGTCGAACTTCTACTTATTCAACATGAAAAACGACTGAAACAGGAACAACTTTTCCACAAGTATCCTTGGGTTAAGCAGCCAGCTACTGTCAGAAGCCAAATGAAATCGCTGACAGTGTAAGTGACACTGCAGTTCCACTCTCAAAACCCTGGCTAAAACTTCTGAAAACCGTTATGCCAATTACCCGGGAAGGTAAAACGCGGTCGATTGGAGTGTGAATTCACTTACTGTTCACGTTTTTGTATGGAAAGCCTGTTTTATTGAACAGGAGTGGGCGGTTTCCTCCCCTGCCAGTGCCAGTCTGAAACTCTGCTTGCTACAAAAGCAGCTAACCCTGTTAGCTGCCGTCGAATGCTAAACAGCTAGCTGTCAACTTACTGGGTTGTTAGCGAACTTTAGCCGTTAGCTCGGTTATTAGCTTACAACGACAATAATGGTGAGAACCAACAGTTTCATAAGCGAGGCGCGGCTCTGCTGGCTGAGCAGCTCACGGAAACCGGCAACTCCCAGAAGGACAAATGAATATCAGTGACAGATTGTACTACAACGCTGACAGGTCAACGTTACAGGAACTACAAATCCATCCACATCCTTTTAGGAACTGACGTGGAATAGGACGTAAGCACGTGTCCACCCACCGTGAATAGCATCCTGCTAGTTGGTGCTGCCACATAGTGTTGTCGACGGAGAAGAGCTCAATGAACAAAAAGTACATTGTGCTAAAACTTTTACATATACATGTTGTAATGGTTTACCAATTTAAGGGCTGTTAAATGCCTCATACATTTAAAAGCTATCCACATTGGATATGTTAATGGAAGGTTGTGCAGCAGTTTTACTTCCTGTTTATCAAAATCAGAATATTTAGCAATTATAAGTAATTCAATTAATAAAATAAGCTAAGTACAGTTTATCTATTCAATTTTTTATTTTTATAATAATTTTACTCATTTATTATTTAGTATTTATTATGTACTTTCCAGGTGTTTTTCCATTATTTATTGGTAACCCAATTATACAAATGTGTTAAAAATTATAAAATGAACATTACCCTAAAGGAAGCTGTAGTGTCCACATCACCAATAGAGGTCAGAACCTTAATTTAGTTTACCACACAAAGGAAAAAGAGTAATTGCAGAAAAATTATTCTTTGTCTGGCAAAGGCAGCACAAATACACCACAGGTGCAGATTATTTCTATTATTCAACTAGCAAATCCCTCTGAAGAATAAGGCTATTCATGCTTCCATTTCTAACACATTATCAGAACAGGGGGAATGTAGTTTCAGAATAGACTGAGGGTGTTTTTCTGGGGATGAGCTCCCTGCCTGCTGAGAGCTCAATGACAAGGTGTAATTTCACCTTTCAGAAGATCAGAGGGGCACACACTAGCACAATTGACACCCTCCAGCTGGTGGTAAAGTTGTGTAACAAAATCTGTAGTGACCAACACATGTTCACCAGCATTTTTGTATTATTATTGTGTGTTTATTATGTGTTCATGTTTTGCATGATCACAGGAGGGGCAGTTGGCATTCAGCTGCAGCACCATCAAAAGGTTCTTCTATAAAAACAATTCTCATTTATTTCTTAAAGTTAACGTTTGCAGTATTTAAACTTACACCTTCAAAAAACAATTCTGGTAAACAAATTCACACAATAACAATGCATGTAAAGTCATTGTTCTTTATAAGAATGTAATGTCTTAAATCCAGTATAAAGCTAACATAGTGTATTTGTTTAAGTGGTAATACACTTTTGTTCTGATAAATAATTTTAAACTATACAAGAATTTTAGTAGACTGTTTGGGATTTTTGCCCCACTTATAATATTTGTCCCTCTGCTGTTGTCATTTCTCTAAATGTACTATATGTGAATGTATATTTTTAAAAGTAACAAGGTGCCATACCCTTCCATTTGCATCATGAACACGGGGGCAATTACAGCACGATGCTCACCATTAGCCACCTGGTAGGACTGCTTCAGACTCCTGGTCTCCTTTTCCTCCTCTTTGATCACATCCTTACCTGCTAGTTTGAACGATAGAATTTGTGCCGCTCTTGGAATGGCAAGCAGTTTGACAGGCAGACAATTAGTGTAGAAGTTAAAGAAATATAAGAAAAACAAGTTTTAAAAAAGGAACACATTAGACCTTGGTACATCATTTTTAGGGTGTATTGTTGTGTATGTTTTCAATGAAAATTGTTAAAGTCATAATTTACATATATTTTGTTAACACCTTTGTTGACAGAAAGACCATGGCTTCACAATGTTTCGTCGCGTTTAGATTTAGGAATATTTCTGCTGGTCTCTCCAAAATGATTCCCAGGGTCGGTTACAGTTATTTAGTGTTTGTACAAGCAGGCCCATCATTCCTGCATGTTTCTTGGGGCCTTAAACATCAGTTTACTCGGCTCCCCCTCTATTTTTCGACTGGCCAGGACCAAAGTTAAAAGGGCACCTCCAGCTGTTTTGGGACAGAGGGATAATTTTTAGCTGCCAGACATGTTTTGTCAGGAGATTGTCTACAGTTTCGTACAGTACTGTCTCTATATTTAACATAAGTGAACCATTTAACAAGCTAGGAAATACAATGTTCTGCATATAGAGTTTGCAGGTGATTCCAAAAACATGAACTGTCCCTTCAACAATGACCTCATCCAGGACATTCAATGTTATGCTACCTCTGTGTATCTGGATCTGCCTGTGCACCCAGCATGTTAACTGGGCTGGTTCTTGTGGCTTTACAATGAGTTACACTTTGTTTGAAGTTTGCTCCTTACTTCTGTTTCACGTCCACCGGACTAATGAGGTCTTCCACGTCTCTGAAGAAAATGCATGAGGAGGCGGGGCTCGGCCATTTTTGGGTCAGTGGCCAATAGGAACGCTCCTGGATTAACAGTAGTATTCATGAACAGTTATGCTGTGCAGCAGATTAGATCTGGATGACGAAGATGCAGCATCAGGTGAGTTTTTCTTTCCTCCATTGCAAATATATATGTATGTCAATCTGAAAAGAAGATCTAAATGTACTGTATTGTTATTCTGAAGTCTAATGATGCAGCAAATAATGAAAAATATTTTAGAGAATTACAAAAAATGTATAAACAAGGAAGTCCAAATTGCACAGATTAGGATAAATAAATTACTACTGAATGAAGAAGAAAACTTTTTTAGTATACAATCAAAAATATCAGATTATACTTAGATAAATACATTCTGAATAAATTTCTTGATGTTCCTGTTCATTTGTGATGTATACATTGTATCTATGTAAATACATATATGTGGTAATAAAAGCACCCACTTTAGGTAAAATACAACAAATATTTATGTAATGTTTTGTTTCAATGGCACTTTCAGAGGTCAAGGATGATGTCCTACAGGGTGTTTTGCTGCCTGCTCTTTCTACCAGGTTTGTTTAAATTAAATTTTTATTTGATTTAACATTCAATGAATGGTTAGAAAAAAGTCAAAGGTGTTATCTGCCCTCTTTTAGGTTTACTAGAAGCGTCCTCTCTTGTGAAAGTAGAGAATTCTCAAGGTATTTTAATCCCCCTTTTCTGACATGCATTTCTTAGACGTATTATTAGATTATTTCTCACACTACAGCTTTTTCTGTTTTCTGTTATGTTCTTCCATAGGAAACCCATTAAACATTGAGTCAACTCAGGCACATGACTTCTTGACCAGCTCCCGACCAAAGAGGAACATTGACCCACGGTGGTACCGAGGCAATCCTGATTTCCAGTCCTACTATCGCTATTACAACAGCATTGGGCACACTGAAGGTGTAAGTTGAAAATTAGAGGAATAACTAAGTCGTTTTTATACATTTATTGAGGTAGAAAGATTTTGACATTTTTCTTCTATTTTATTAGCTCTACGAGATTGACAGAATCAGGATGCTTTATCAGCAAATGCGTCACTTTGAGCAAACTTACGGTCCTGATGCCTCAAGTTACCAAAATATTTTGGGTGTGCAGACTACAACTGCAGCACCAACTACAACCACCAAGCCTCCTCCACCACCCACCACCCCTGCTCCCACACCAGATCCTCTGAAAGACGCTCCAAGGATCTATCTGTGCAACCCCAAAGACCCTCTGTGTAAACCTAAGGTAGTCTACATGCCAACAGGAGCCGTCCCAGTCCTGTGCGACCCACGGGTCAACCCTGCCTGCAGACCCAAATCAGAGGAGGAGATTAAGGCCGAAGCTCCTCCCCAGCCACCCCCTGCACCTCCTGCTCCCAAAAAGTCAGCCCTGCCACCTCCACCTCCTGTTATCACTGCGAAAAAAATGGAGTATGACTGTGACCCATACTGGGATCCTGACTGCCTCATCGACCATCCTCCTCGCCCTGTCCAGGAAACAACTGAACTAGAGGAACCTGCCAAGGAGGAGGTGGTAAAAAAAGAAGTAACAAAGGTTGAAGAAAGTGTCCCTGCTGCACCTGAACCTGAGAAAACCCTCTATCCTTTTTTTGATCCTTATGATTTTAAGCGTGACCTTTATGACCCATTCAAATATGCCGCTCCAGCGCCAGAAGACGACTAACTTCTTGTTTACAGGGTACAAGGATATTTAACATTATAAATAATTCTACATCCCGTTGATCTAATCCAATTGATCATCATCGTTTGTCTTATTAAAGAGGAGCATAAGCTAAGTGTTTACACTTATGAATGTTTTCACTGTAAAGAAAATAAAGTCTGTATCTACTGATAAAAATAAAAAGACACTGAAAATGGTTAGTGCTGCTGCCATAATTTACTGAGAGTTGAAGCATGTAAAATTGTTTTCATTTAATTTAATAAATAGCCATTAGGCTATATTAAATCTATCTGTGATTCACTGCTCCTTAGTGTGAATAGTGGTATACTATCAGCAGAAGTAGTAGAAGCAGGAGTATTGATATGTGTTATTACAGTATATGATTAAGTAATAATACTAGTCATGGAATAGCAGAAATAGATTGAGTAGTTGTAATGAGAGACATGGTCATAGTAATAAGTGAATAACAAAGTATTGGTATTAGAAGAGTTAGTTTTAAAATAAAAAAGGGCAATAATGGCATCTAAAGGCATGGAAGTAGTGGCAACAGTAAAAGAAGTAGCAGTGGGAAAGTACCTAAGGTAGAATTGTGTAGTTGTAGTAGTAACAAAGGTCGTAGTAGTACAGGCAGTTTATATCAATTAAAATTCCGTTTCTGTAACGTTTCCCAGATGATTACCTTTAAGCTTCTGAGGCCGGAAAAGACCTGGAAGACAAGAACATTAATGAATGACAATGAACATTAATTAGCAGAAGCAGCAGAACGTGGTGCTTTCTGCCGGCAGGGGGAGGTATTTCTCGGTCCTAGTTCTCAGTCCCACAGCAGAGTAAGAAGACTGCAGCTGAGCCCTGTCTCTTCCAGCATCATCACATTTTCCACCATCATTCTTCCTCCTCCTGCCGACACAAACGCACCCTAAACTGGACTCTGTTCACTTCCGTTTAACGACTGTCACCGGGTATTGTTTTGTTAACCTCCTTATCCCCGCTATTTAAAACATTAAACTTCTATCTGTGGGAGAGGGAATATTGTGCGATGCCGTGTGATGGTATTGTTATTGTCGCTTGTTGTAATAACGGGCCCGTTCACTTCCATAGGGATACCATGGAGATTAGCATGCTAACGCCTAGCCTGTCTAGCTGTCACTGAAGACGTTAATTGGATTATAAAAAACGAACTGTCCTTTAAGTATTAAAAAGTGGAGTAATATTCGTATTTTGTTTGTGTGGTAAAAAAAAATACATAATGTGTGTATTTAATTTCAGTTTTGTCAGTGAGTGAAGGGTGTGTAGCATCTTGTTTGTTGTCCGAGTGTCAAACACAACAGTGTTAGTAACATTAGATCTTCACTGTAGGCAGAGCTCTTTTAAATCATTTCCATCCCTCTGCCAAAGGTTAAATATGAGTATTTGTGCCAAAAGGGAAAGATTACCTTGTTGTTCCAATTAAGAATCTTGAAAAGCACCAAAAATAATTCTGTCTCCATAAGTATTCTTCCTCTATAGGAACATATTCCTAATTTGATTAGTTTCTATTTACCTCGAATAATATTGTTTAATGCACCATGGCATTCACTGAAATGCAGCCGTGTTATACTGAACTAAAAGAGGATCATTGTCATAAATAAGTGCTGGTTGTACACATGCAGTTAGCGTGACCCGCTTAGGGCTACTGCACAGATGAGTCTCAAACATCAGTACTGTTGTGTCTGTAGACACTGTCACAACACAGCTTTTCTTTCTGTAAGTTAGTATATATATGTTCATTAGGCTGTGTGATTTTCATAATGTCAATTATACATTATCAGTAGATTTGCCATTAGGACAGTGTTGTTATGAAGTTCTGGTAAGTTCTGGTAAGTGGCAGCAGGCAAAGAAGATGAAAAGTTTATGTTTGTTGTATTCACTGTATGCACTGTATTTTTCAATTTTTGGTTCCTTGTTTTGCAGGATGTCTGACAAAAGTGAACTGAAAGCTGAGCTGGAGAGGAAGAAACAAAGGATCGCCCAGATTCGAGAGGAGAAGAAAAGAAAAGAAGAAGAAAAGAAGAAAAAGGATGTTAGTGGAGAAAACAGTCATTTACACATGTTTTTGTTAAATGTCAGGCTGAAAAGTGTGCACTCTTTAGTTGGTCAGTAGCTCTCAGTCCAGTTTTCAGTTAGGTGACAACCTTTTGCTGTCTGCAGGGTGATTTAAGGCGTGGAGCTGAGGCAGGAAGTGGAGGTGCTGTCGGCCATGAAGACTCCGACCTGGAGAGGAAAAGGAGGGAGGCAGAGGCTCTCCTGCAGAGTGTTGGCATCACTCCTGACATACCTCATGGTAAACTGTTGTACACACAGATGGCATGTTTCTGTTTCTGATTCCTTAACTTCACTTATCTCACATCATGGTCAGGTTTTGTGCTTGAAGAATTTGTAATGCCGTTAATGTTAACCTCCTAACGTTTTAACAGCGTCTGGCAGGAACTCACTCACTGTGTTTCCTCTCCCTCCTTTACATGATGTTTACTGTTATTGTGCATGACACCTGAAACCTGCCTGCCATTTATTTTCATTCTTTCTTCTCTCCCCTTTGTCTTTCCTTTTTACATTCTGTCCTCATGGCTGCATGCAACTGACTCCGTCCTCCCTTCCTCCTCACCCAACTGCCTCCTTCACTCACCCACCTATTCATTGACTCACACACTAACACACAAACACACACTCGCAGCTCAGCCCCTCAGGGTAGTAACAGAGGATACGTGTCTGTTTCACTACCTAGTCCCCGCTCCCATGTCTCCCTCCAACAAGTCAGTGGGCAGTGACGCAGGAAGCCAAGATTCTGGGGATGGAAACGCAGGACCAAGGTTTGTATGCAATGTCAGAGAGAGTTAGATGACGATAGGGTTCAAATCCTATTTCTAGAAAAGTTGCAACACTTTAAGAGAAAAGTATTAAAAACTTAAATCTGTCATTTGGTCCTTGATTAGGCAAAAAGAAAGTTCTCTCATTGTACTTGTTGAACATAATCTAATTTTGCAACTCACTTAATTGGGAAAAAATTTAACCGTTTTACCATCAGGTCACATCATCTTGAGCCACTTTTTACATAAGAAAAATCAAATTAAAAAATGTCCAAAAATATATGTAATGAAAATATAATGATTGAATATGAATAATGAGAATGGTGCAGTTTGTTATACCAAATCACAGGTTTTTTTGGCATTTATTGTGTAGATAGCAGCTTTTCCGGAAATTGTTTATGTATGCATGCAAGTGTGTTTTCTGACATTAAAATTATATCTGATAAAGTTTGATGCGTCCTGTCTCTTGCACGGTACAGTGTGTTTATTAACATCCTTCTTATTCTTCTCTTCCTGTCTTCATTTCTCTGTACTTCTGATCATTTACACTTCTTTCCTGGCTCACCTTCTGCTGGTTTTTCTCCTCTTGGTTCCATCCTCCTTCCTGTTCTGTCCTTCTCTCACTAACTCCCTCTGGTGGTTTGGCTGTGTAAGGACATTGCACTGGGATCCTGACCCCTCTACTCTGCAACTGCACTCCGACTCTGAGCTGATGGGGTACTGCTCCTCCTCCTCCTTTCTCCTTTAGCGTGTCTGTCAGCTTAAACCAGTTTTGTGCTTTTCATCTTATACTTGTCCAAATGTGTTAACGACATCTCTGTGCATCGATATTTCTGTCACCTCCCTAAGTAGTTCTGTTTAGTTCTGCAGCGGTAACCCTGTATTTGAATGCATAATGCTACGTCTTTTTCTGTGTAGACGTGGAGCAGTGAGGCTGGGCATGTCCAAAATGACCCAGGTGGACTTTGTACCAAAAGAAATGGTGTCTTACTGCAAAGAGACCCAGACACCCACAGAATCAATCACACATGAGCAAAAAGCGGGTAAAAACAGACGCAAACTAACCTTTCTCCCTCATAAGCTTTGGCTTAATTCTTTTAACTGAACCAAATCTCTCTTAGATGAGGAGGAGGATGAGGAGATAACTGCTCCTCAACCAGTGAGTGACACTCAGGAGGAGATGGATGACAAGGGTGAACAGCAGGAGGAGGGTAAGTGTGATAAACATCATAACTAGATTTTATCTTAGTATTTATCTTAGCGAGTTTAGAGAGAGAGTTGTATTAAAGTATTTTTTCTCACTTTGAAATTTGCTTGATCCCTTTAAAGAGTCTCCCAAGGAGTTGACAGAAGAGGAGAAGCTGCAGATCATGCACTCCGAGGAGTTTTTGTCATTTTTTGAACGTGGCAGTAAGTATGTGGAGAGAGCGCTGTCTGAGCAGGTGGACGTCTGCTTCGACTACAGTGGCAGAGATCTGGAGGACAAGGACAGGTAAGAAACAAGTCAGTCAACAAGAAGGCTGTGTTTTAAGCCGTTACCATATTTAATTGTTATAACTGTTGTCAATTCCAGTGACCTGCAGGCGGGTGCCAAGTTGGTTCTGCACAGACAGTTTGCAGATGAACGTTGGACTAAAAACAGAGTGGTCACCTGTCTGGACTGGTCTCCTCAGGTAGGGTGGAGGAGGAGAGAATGTCTCATCGTTGTAAGGCGTCCTGTGTAATCTCTACAATGTCCTGTCTCACTGTGTCTCAGTACCCAGAGCTGCTTGTGGCCTCTTATAACAACAACGATGAAGCTCCCTATGAACCTGATGGAGTGGCTCTGGTCTGGAACATGAAGTACAAGAAGAACACACCTGAGTACATCTTCCACTGTCAGGTGAGCTTTCATTTTGACCATTACCATATAAATTAAACTTAAATAAAGTAAACAGAAATAAGACAACAAACACAGATATCTCTGTTCAGAACTACTGTTTATGAGTCAGGTGGGTGGAGTTGATGAGGTGATGCTGCTGTAGGTCTCTGCTCATAGATTTCTCATCATCACACGACTTGACTTAGTAGCATTTGGCCTGGGGGCTTAAGTTTGATATTCTGAAGAAGTTTCAGATAAATTAAAAAGTTACAAAGGAATCTAAACATACACTGTACAAATTCTGCTTCTTACTGTAGGTTTAACATCTCACAACACTGATTTAGAGTTTGGTATATTTGATATGTACCTGTTCTTCCCGACAGTCGGAGGTGATGTCTGCTGGCTTTGCAAAGTTTCATCCCAACCTGGTGGTGGGTGGGACATACTCTGGACAGATTGTCTTGTGGGACAACAGGAGCAACAAACGCACTCCTGTTCAGAGGACTCCTCTGTCTGCAGCAGCACACACAGTAATACACCACATGCACATGAACTCAACATTTATTAAAATCATTCTGGGGTTATTTTTGTTATCTAATTTCCTCCACTCTTGTGTCCAGCACCCTGTCTACTGTGTGAATGTGGTGGGAACCCAAAATGCTAACAATCTGATCAGCATCTCCACTGATGGTAAGATGTGCTCCTGGAGCCTGGACATGCTCTCACAGCCACAGGTAGGATAGAGTGGAGCAGTACTGCAGTTGTACACGTCATTAGGTCGGGGTCTGAGGTTGTCATGTGTCTTTGCAGGACAGTCTGGAGCTGGTGTTTAAACAGAGCAAAGCTGTAGCTGTCACCTCCATGGCCTTCCCTCTGGGAGATGTCAACAATTTTATCGTGGGCAGCGAAGACGGTTCTGTCTACAGCGCCTGTCGACATGGAAGGTCAGTTCCTTTGAGGTTCTGTGTTCACAGCAAATGTTTTGAGTTTGATAAGACACCGGGAAACATCTGTGAGGGGAGACGACAGGGGTCAGCGTTGATCACTGATGTTCTTGGTGTGTTACAGTAAGGCAGGTATCACTGACGTGTTTGAAGGCCACCATGGTCCAGTGACTGGACTGAGCTGTCACAGCGCTGGTGGACCAGTGGACTTCTCCCATCTTTTCATCTCCTCCTCCTTCGATTGGACCATCAAACTTTGGAGTACTAAGGTGAGCTTACACAAACATGCAGAAGGATCCGACCCACAATTCGCACGGCTCTATTTGATCTATTTGTTCTTTTTCAACACAGAGTAATCGTCCCCTCTACTCATTCGATGACAGCAGTGACTACGTCTATGATACCATGTGGTCTCCCACACACCCTGCTCTGTTCGCTTGTGTGGACCTGAGTGGACGTCTGGACCTGTGGAACCTTAACAATGACACTGAAGTACATAGAAACACAATATATTCCGAACTGTACCCAAAGTATTGCCAAATACCTTTCCTAATGGCCAGTTTGGTCTGATGTGTGTTTTCTAGGTTCCCACTGCCAGTGTGTGTGTGGAAGGGTCTCCAGCACTGAACAGAGTGAGATGGGCTCACACTGGCAAAGAGATCGCTACTGGAGACTCAGAAGGACAGGTCCAGGTCTATGATGTAGGAGAGGTAAGGCGCCATTACATCACTGTGTAAAACCACTCCCAGCCCCCACCTGTATGTCTGACAATACCGCTTCTGTCCTGCAGCAAATTTGTGTCCCCAAGGCCGACGAGTGGACGCGTTTTGTCAGGACGCTGGCGGAGATCAACGAGAACAGGGACGAAGCCGAGGAGCTGGCCATTGTGTGATGTCACAGACCTTCACTCTGACTATGGCTCGTTTACTTCTACACTACACGTGACCTGAGACGGGCTGAGGTGACCACCTCTGTTCCCTCTGGCTTTTAGCTTTTTCCATGTACATCAGTAAAAGATCTGGCCCAAGGAGATGCGCAGAACTAGAATGGATAGAACAGAAGGGTCTTTGGACAATTGTAAATGTGTTTTAAATGTCTCCAGGAAAACATTTGATAGAAATAGTCAATGTCATTTGTAAAAGTCATCTTAAGTTGGGAAGTGATCATCATTGGTCCACGGCTCAGTTTATTTTACTATATGCAAACCTTTGTACCTGCACCTTTTTATTACCATTGGAGTGTTTTTAATATTTTCTTCACACACTTGTGCACATGGCTGGGGCAGCATTTGAATCATATCGACTGAAGCAGACATAACAACAGCCCTGGCCTGTGCACGAGTGTGTTGCCTGCTTTTTAACCACTATATTTAATATTTATTCTAATTCTGGCACTTATTTAAATGTTTTGTTTATCGTTAAAAACAAATGCCGTTTTGTACTAAAAGCTTGACTAGTAGATTCCTAACATTGACACACGTTTTATATCAGGCAAAGTGTGTGAATGTACTGACACTAGTCCAGTTAAAAATATATATGTTTAACTGAACATAAGGTTGTTTTACAGTCTTTCCCTGTCCAAGATGATATCCTGTTCTTCAGAGGATTTAAATAAGACTTAATTAAGTCCGAAGTAACCTTTTGGGACGAGGAGGAAATTTTGGTTTTATCTAGATTTCTTTTTAAAAACCATGTATTTTACTCATGATGAAACATTTCATTCTCAGTGTTGTTGAAATTTGCATAATTACTAAAACTGATTATAAAAGCACTGTAATAAAATGAATACAACACTTGTCAGTATTGCTTAAGAGAATATATGTACTGCAATTTCTTTTACCATTAAAAGTAAGCCATGGTTACACTTTTCCATTGGAATAAAACTCCCAAGACTGGTTGGTAAAATTAAACCCATATGGATGATTTATTTCAATAAAATACAATGACTGAATTGAAATACATTTAATTTATTAATACCTAATTCTCTTCTCTGGTTTCATTAAAGAAAACACTAAAAGTTTCTTTTGTACATCAGTAAGAGTGATTCTCAGAAACCAGGACCAAAGGCCCATCACTGGCCATAACAACACTACAGTTACACTTGGCGTGGTTTCGTAACATTTTTATCACCGCAGTTATACTATATGTACAGTAGGGGGCCCATCTGAGGACCGAACCCACTCCAACACCGTGCTAGATATTGACATTTCATTCCCCTTGTCCAACGCAACAAGTCCTGCTCAAATTGAGTGTAAGACAAAAAAAAAAAAATCACATCATCTACTCATGAGAGTGAATCTTCAAACAAATATTGTAGAGAAATAAGCATGAAAATGCCAGGAGCCAACAGTCACTGCAGATACAACACAGTCATTCTCCCTGCTGAGTGACACTGAGCCCAGACCAGTGACTGACACAGGACCAGTGGGTCCAACCTCACTGTGAACAGAGTTAAGGGGTTGGTGTTGTTTGTTAAAGCCCCGTTTTGTGGAGTGTGCGGATGTGTGTTATAACTGAGCTGATGGTCGAAGCCTGTGTATCTAAGTTCCTGGCTCCTGGTAAAAGGACAATTGAGATGACGGAGGTGATATGGAAATGTCAGACCTCTAGGTGGTCTTCGCAGGTGCAGCTGCGCCCGGTACGGGGTGATGTAAGGAAACCACGCCAGAGGACTTGAATTTGGGAAGGTGCAGGCCGAATTTGTTCTCCACTCCTGCGAAGGTGGCCGCGGCCAGACGGTAGCCTCCCACGTGGTCCGCGTGAATGGGTGGAAGCTCTGAGATGCGAGACTTGGGCATGGGCTCAGATCCTGCTGGACGACTGCAGAAAAGGAGGAGGGAATAGAAGATAGTGTAAGAGGTAGAATGTGTTTGGAGCATTTGAATATACGTAGATGGGGGAGGTTACTTTAAAAAATCTAATATTTGCTGTGTCTTTATAGCTCTGTACAAACCCAGTCAAACCTTTGTCAGATGGAATGTGTTTACAAATCGGATTGTTAGGACAATATTATGTAATAATGACACAACACCATCGTGTAAGAGTCATATTTCACATGAGTCGACTTACTGTCCACCAAAGTCGACATAGAACCATCTCTGCAGGAGCTCATACGTCACCAGAGTCACACCAAACTGTGGGGAGGACCTGCACATACGAGCTGTTGGAGAGAGGAAACACCTGGTTTAGTATGGTTTAAATCAGCAACAATCTCAGATTCATGACACACACAAACAGACACACAAACCTCCAGCTCCCTTCCACAGAGCCCTGAATCCTTCCTCTTTCATAATCTTCTTAAAACAGTCAATGACTCCGGTATAGGTGGTCTGTCCCGCCCGTGCCGCTACTTGCAGACGGGTCTTGACGACATCGGCAGGAGTTACCAGTGAGGCAGCAGGGATACCTGGGAAATGAAGTCAGAGAGATGAGATGAGAAATTTGTTGCATCAGGTTGTATACAGTAATATCACTTAATTAAGAATTAGGAAATCCTTTCTTGGTCCCACAATGGAGACATTTACAGTGTTGACAGCAGCAAGGTACAGTACACGGTATATAGAGTGAAGTAGCATAGCGTAGTGCTATAGAAATAAAGTTATCAGACTTCAATATAGTTGTATCTTAATGTCAAAGGTGTAAAGCCCTTTGAGGTTAGCAGCTCAACTGAACGGTGGCTGGCTTTAGTGTTTAACAAGACTAAAGATAATAACTAAAAATACTAGCACATTCTATCCTGTAACTAAACAAATAAAATGGTTCATGGTTACCTGCAATTGCACCGGCTGAGAGAAGCTGCAGAGGCCCCACTCTGCCCTGGTCGTCAGCAAACTGAGCCTTGATGTGAGCGTACACAGGGAAATAGATTGCTGAGAATGGGATGTCTCTCAGGAAACAAGCTTTAGCCCCCTGCCAAAAAAAAAAAATCAAAGGACAGAGAGGGATGCCATGAGTCCCGGTCTAGGACACTATGACAGCCACTCATACAGACGAACAAATTAAAAGTGACTAAAAGCCACAGAAAAAAAATCCATCACCTTGTACAGGCCGAAGAAGCCCAGGTCACGGACCACGCTGAGGGCGCTGACTCGAGGTCCAGTTGTGATCTCACCTGCCACCTGTAGGCGGATTTTCACAATCTCCAGGGGGTTAGTGAAGATCACCTGAGAGCCTCCAGCCTGAAATAAAAAAAAGTATTTACAGAGTAGAATCACACCTTTGCAGCAGTAGTAAAAGAGCATCCACAGTAGAACGAGTGACTTCCTACTTACACAACCTCCAGCCAGAATCTCAGCCATTAAAGGAATGGAGTCGTCTTTTTCAGTGAACTTGTCTCTGACAAAGTCATTGACCTTTTGGATGCAAACAAAGCAGCTGTGAGACAACAGGGTACGGAGTAGGGTCTGCATCATCCAGTATGTGTATAAATGTACATTGTTGTACTTTGGCGTTCATTCATTTCCATCTCCTGTTTTATGTTATTGTGCGAGTGCAGTGACGACCAGAACACGTTTGTGTGTGCATTCACTAAGGAGTGGAGGAAAACTAATGTCATGCAGGTCTGTACTCACTGTTAGTTTGATGGCTTTCTCAGGTGCCACGCCTATAAGCTGAGGAACCAGACCTGTGAGGCATTGTGGAGATTATGTGGTTAGGTTTAGTGTGGATCTTATTAATTAGTTCAGAAACTTTAGGGTTGTCAAAAGTAATTCATTCATATATTTGTGCAATTTTTCAGCCTCTCACCTCGGTAAAAGCCAAAGAAACCCTCATAGCGGAGGACCTTTTTCGCACAGTCAAAGCTGTTTTTGTACATCAGCTCCCCAACAAAGGATCCTGTGGACCTTTGGTTCTGCATTCGAGTCTTTACCAAGTCGATTGGATACACCGCCGTTGCTCCCGTAGCTTTATGAACACAAACAAGTTTGAGTTAAAAAATGTTTTGAACTCATGAGATGTAAAGCTGTCTCAGACCTCAGTGGGACTCACCTCCGGCGATGGAGCCCAGAGTAAACCTGTATGCTGACTCTGCAATTTGGAGCCACACAGGCCTGGAGCCATCTCCACGGGTCTGTCAACCAAAAACATGAAATACATTAAAAAAATGTAATGATGTCACAGTACTGTTATTACAGCACATGGTCAAATTTCAATGATGTCGCTGAGTAGGCAAAAAGCACTGTACAATAAACTCACGTGTTTCTGACTTTCAGCCAGGTGATGTGGAAGAGCTCCTTCCTCTAACGGTGCTATCCTCTCAATGTCAGACAGGTTCAGGCGCCTGAGACACCAACGAAATTATTAGTCAAAACAACAGAAAAATCACCAAGGTTGAGGTGAGGCTAAAAACCTAAACTGAGAAGTAATTTTATTTTACCCAGAGGGGGAGTGAAGGCCTGACAACTGGTACAAGATGTCAATTTCCATTGGAGTGATTTGACCAAACTTGTTAGCAGCGTGAACAAACTCCTCTGTGGAGAGACAAGGGAGGAATGATAAACCAACAGATGCAGAGCACAGCACCGCGATACAGCAACGTTCTGTGTACCTTTGGTCACCAGTGTGTCCTTCCGTGTGCCAGCCAGAGTGCTGTAGATCTTACGGATCAGCTCCATGTTATTAAGAAGGGAGTTAAAAGCATTAAAATAGGAGAAACTGACCATGTGGGAGGTGCTGCCTCCTGCAGCCTGGGAGAACAAAAACAGAAAAATGCAAGTGAGAAACAATATATTCTTGACTTTTGGTAACTTTCATTCAGCATCTATTCATATGTACAGTAAAATATGAGCAAATGTTTATGGCTATAACCGTTCCATTTAGTCCACATGTGATGAAGAATTGATGGACGAGCCAGAAGCAATTAACAGATAGTATTGTAAATCCCTGCTATTTATTTAATTTTTATCTGTTTCCATATTCTTACAGCTCAGTCTGTTTGTTTCTAATTCATTCTGCTCAGTTTTCTCTCCTCTATTTGTCTGTTATAAATTTCTCACTGACTGGGACGCGGGTAAAGGTAACATTTTCAGATTTCATATGAAAAGTCCACATTTTAGCAGTCGGAAATCTTTAAAATTATGAGCTTGAGAACTCACAGAAACAAGGTTTTCCTCCACAAAAGGTGTGAGTATGTGGTGTCTGATGGTGGCCATGATGTCGCTGAAGTCCATGGCAGAAATGACCCCATTCTTTCCTTTGTCCTTTTGAGCAAATGCCTGGCGTGCGTGCTCCAGCTGCAACTCCTAAAAGAAATACAACACCACAAGGATGAATTTAAAAATAGTCATCACTGAATGGCAAGGGTGTCAGTGTATGTGTGTGTGTGTGTGTGTGTGTGTGTGTGTGTTTGTCCGTGCACTGTCCACACCACATACCTGCAGGAACTGGGTGAACTCAAGATAGCTGAGGCATTTCTTGCGGTCGTGCCCAAAGTGCAGGCGGATGAACTCGCAGTCCCAGTTGAAGGGGATATGATGGTGTACAGTGGTCTGGCTGAAAATGTCTCGCACATTTTCTGCAATAACAATGGTGATTATGTAAATCTGTTCATGTGAACTGAATGCTTAAAACAAATCTGATTAACAACACATTAGGACAATCCTCCTTTCAGACCAAGGGCAGGAAAACGGGACTGTGCGTAAATATTCAGGCGAGCACATAGAATTTTAAGACTCATACCAAAGGAAACGGAGCCTGTTCCGTTCTTGTCAAAAAGCTGGAAGGCAACGATGAAGAGAGCATCAGGTGCACACAACACCGACTCGAATGCAAGGAACTCCTGGAAAGAGATGAGCCTGCAATGGTGGGTGAGACAAGGAAACAGAGACACATGTTGTCAAGGCAAGTCAGGAGGTGGTTCAAAGAAACCCTAAAGGTACAATATGCAATGATTTCCAACAAACATAAACCATAAAGCTATGTGTGATGTTACACTAAAAACAGTACAGTGTTATGTTTATCTACAAGGATGCTGCATAACTACAACTACTACAACATTAACAGAAAATTCTGTTATACTTTTGAGGAGGTACTAACAAATACTTTGACATTTTATGTCATTTATGTTTCATGTAAAAGAGCATGTCATAATCACATGTCTACTTCGACATAATTAATCTTGCACTGATGTGAGGTTGGGTTTGTCTGTAAAATCCAACAGTCTGGGTTTCACTGAATGCCTTCTCATCACACGGAGATAAAGATAGATAACAATCATGTCTGGCTCCATAAACTGTTAATTATTGATAAGCTTCTTTGTCATTACACACCCGTCCTTTGTGGTGTCCGCTACAGCAGCAATGAGTTGTACAGTTTTGGGGTTGTGGTGGATCTGAGTGTGTAATCCCAGATAGCCCTGGACAAAGTCTCCGGGGGTCATAAACTTCTCTCCATCCTTGTCTACTATGGTGGCGTACTAGGAGGAACAAGGAAACAGAAAACATCGTGACGTCAGCCTTCAAAGAAGCAACATTTTTACGTGACATAACATGACTCAGAGTTAATCCTCCTCATAAGCACGGCTTTAAATTAGACGCTTACAGCTTTATACACCCTCAGAGCGACCTTTTCTTTGGTGGTACAGTCCTGAGCTTTATTTCATGTTTGAAGTAATATACAGTATGAAACCTGTAATTGATAATAATAATTTTTAACAGGTGATTTTTAACAGAATTTCTAACCACAGTGACTTGCAGTAGGACAATAACCCTTTACATGCATTTAATTCATATAACTGTCCAACACCAGAAGCAATAGAGTGATTTTTTTCCCTGTATGTGTATGGCTAGCTATACACATACAGCTAACAGCTGTGCTGCAAATGATTTCCTAAACGTGTAGGTTACACCAATGACACAGCTGAACAATTAAAGTCACTCATTCAATTCAGACACTGCATCCATGACTAAGCACGTGAGCACATTGCACCATGTTTTCCTCAGCTGTTTGACCTGCGTGTGTCAGCAGACCAACAGTGAACGGCCCACATGACAGCAGGCTGATCACAAACAGCCCACGCAGAGGACATTGGGCAAAAGGTTCCCTCGTTTGGAAGCTATTTTCAGCAAAACTAACATTAAAATATTGACAAAAACGACAGCAAGCAGAGAAACTTGACAGTGATGCCAGTTGACCTCACAGTTAGACCACTCCTGATCTAACTGGTATTATTAAAAACAAGAACAAACAAGACTGTGGATTGCGATGGGTCTAAAGGGAACATTTGAACCCAAAATATCTGATCTCAAGGCTATTTTTAGCAACATTCACTCCAGATTCTGAGCAGTTCAGATGTGTGTTTAGGTTTAAAAAAAGATTCTGTCTTTTATATCTGAAAGTAAAATCTCTCAGGGAAAATAATCTAGCAGAAAGCTACTCATACTCGATACAGTGTTAACAACATGTTTGTAAACTGTGTAGTGAAGTATCTGCTATTCAATCAACAAAAAGGAAGAAGAGTAATAGAGTATTTGATTATATTGTTACATTTTGGGCATTCCTTTTATTTGAGTGCACACAAACAGCTATCCTTTGGGAGTAAAGAACAGTTGTAATGACACCTAGGTTTTGTGAGCAGAAATAATTTAAATTTAAAGCCAAATAGACTCAGGCTCTTGTGTTAAGATTTCAAAACACAGCCTCTATTTTGGTGTGGAGGCTGAGGTATGCAGATTGTTATTCACATTAGCTTACATGTATCGGAGTAAGCCAGTGTCTCTGCTCTCCAAATGTGACATATATTGTGCAAGTACAGGCGTGTTCGTTTTGTGCTGCAGGAAAACCACTGCTTCTCCTATTTCGGGGGGATTTTTTTAGGACTGTGCACGTGACACACATCAGATATAAACAGTAGAATTGTACTATTGTATTTGGATTGTTTAAAATGTTGAGCATGTATATATCAAACACAGCTACAGTGTTAGCTGATCCTCAGTCGTTGCTCTTTAAGTTCTTTTCTGTAATTTGGCCTGTAGCAGCCAACTGTAGCTAATGCTATAATTTAAACCCCATGACACAATCTTACAAGCTGAAAAACCAAAAGTCTTGGGACCAGCTGATTTCCACTAATACACCAGTTTCAATATTGTCATCTTTGACAAACAGCCAGTCATACTGGTACACTATGTAAACTTAAATGTAAAACCAAAACAACACACTTACCCTCTGGAAAATTCCTTTCAGCTCACTTGGGTCCCCACGTTTTGTTGACTGCACCTAAAAAATGAAACACAGAATGTTGACATTTCTGGACGAAGCTAAAGTTTTCACGAAGTATGACATTAACTCCACAACATATAACGAGGGGAAACAGAAAGTGAACAGGGTTTTGTGTCTCCTTGCCACGTCCACTGTTTTGAACGTGAAAGATGAGACAAGGAGACAGGAAACACCCACAAACCTCTTCAAAAACAACACATCCCGGTCAACAACGACGACCATGATGATGATGGAGTTAAAGATAACGAGTAATTAGCGACAAAAAGGCAAAATTAGACAAACGATACAACCCGAGTGCGCTTAGCAACATACGGAGGAAGAGGACACAACCCGAGACAAGGACGCGTTCATAAATGAACGCGGACAACAGTGCAACGACGAAAGATAAAACAGACAAATTTGGTCTGTTGGTTCGGTTAAGGTCAGAGCTGTTATCTTATCTTGAGCGGTGCCTGCAGCTGTATAACATTACACTGATAACTTGGAGGTTGTGGATGTCCGAAGGCCAGCAGCCGTAGTGGGGCGGCTGCTAGCTCGGGAGAAGATGCTACAACATCCGAGAACAGAGCTTTCAAACGCCCGCGGTTCGCACACAGCCAGGGACTCTCGTTTCTAACATTGTCGCGGAAGAAAACAGGCAGAATAAAAGCGGACATGTTTAAGAAGATGTTTGAGGGTCGTAGAAAAAGCGATGCCGAAGTCACCTTGGCCGCCATGCTGGTTTGACGTCACGCAGAGTGAGTGAGTGGGGCGTAGAGCACGCCCTCAGGCGTGGACAGTCAGGTCTCTCTCTCTCTCTCTCTCTCTCTCACTCTCTCGCTCTCTCTTTTACCCATACTGTAACATAGCAACATTGGATAATTAAATTCATTATTATAAATTATATATTTCATTTATATTATATATCATTATATTTCGTGTAAGAGACATTGGGATTTAATGTTATCAATTGTTTTCATAAGTAATTCTTCATGAAAAATCTTATTCTAAATTCTTATTCTAAAATTGCCATTCATAAAATTCATAAAGTTATTTAGCTGAATTATTCATATTCAAGCAAGAAGTACAGTTTACACATTATACAGCACAGATATGTGTATGTGTATATATATGTGTGTGTGTGTATATGTGTGTGTGTGTAAATATGTTTACATATATATGCAAACATATTTACACACACACACACACACATATATAAGCATATCCAATCATATCCCTTAAAAACATAATAACGTGTATTGAAAGTTGAGGCATACAGCTAATCTATGGAGTACAGTGCAGCAGAACCCTAGTTGCATGCATAAAGTCATATCACCTACATGTCACCACTCCTGATCTAAATGGTTGATAAATAAATTACAAAGTTACTACTTTATCATCACTAGCAGTACAGGTTAGGGTACAAGATTGAACTAGATTACTAAAGCAGGCTTTTCTCACTCTGTTCTCTAATAATGGCTTACGTCATGTCTGTTGGCAAAAACAAAGAAAAAGGGTTTTTACATGCTTGACTTGTGACTGAGTGTTATTGTGTAATTAAAAATTAAAAAACAGAACTAGTCAAATTGACTTTTGCAGCATTTTAAGCATTTTATTAAATAGTCATATTTCACAAAATGCTCAAGGCCAAACAAAACCGCAGCGTGTCTGAGCACGTCAGCTGAATAGGCACTCTCTGATCCTTGGATTACCTGCATGTTTAGGAATGTGACCACGCATGTCCCTGAACCACCCTTTTGCAGGAGTTGTAAGTTTCAACTCAATATGCTAATCATTATCTTGATATCCCACAAGATAATAAATAATAAATTGGAAATAGTTAAAAAAAAGTTACTATTAGCAACCATACATTCGATAACGACAACAATTTCCCCATGGAAACAATAAAGTTCGATCTAATCTAATCTAATAACTAAGAGTTATAATTATTTAATAATAATTAAACGAAGTCAAAAGATCAATATATTTAGGCAAATGGCTACTGCTTCAACAGTATAATAATAATTATTATTATTATTACATAATCCGTCTACTCAACAAATGCACGGGTAAGGAAGATACTTGGCCAGGAGAGGGCAGTATGAAACTGTCAGACGTTGGGTCTACCTAAATAGAAAAGAAGAAAAACCTACACTGCGTCACTTTACCTTTGCACCACGTGACCACCAATAACAATGTCTGCGCCCTGTGTTTGTGTACTTGTTCGAAATACCGGTAGGTGATTCAATGCAGAACTGTTGTCTAGCTGAAAACTTATCATAGCTTCTTCCAACCATAAATATAGAGGGAGCAATAGTTGCTGCTCATGTAACCGGAACTTCATAAAATCAAACAGATACTTTGTTTTACGCATAACAATTAAACGCAGACATAAGTCATTAATTTTCAGTCCTCATCATTGTCAGTTATGTTACGTGTTGTAGTATTATAAAATGGAATTTAGACATTTTGCATGATGAAGTGACCACCCCCTTTCAGAAGGCGTCTTTTCTAAAGCTTTTAGTGTTTTGACAAATTTGTGTAATTTGTAATTTCTACATCTGAAAAAGATAATATAATGATAGTAGTTGTAGATTCATCTAAAATTACTTTTAATTTTTTATAGGATTTGGAGGTTTACTGCAGAGAGTTTCTCGTGGTCTTCCCACAGCTCTACTGAGTCAACAACATCGCCACTTTTTCTGGCAGAAATGGAAATATTCCCATAATATAGTTCGTCCAGCTAATGTCAGTCCTGCATATCCAGTCCCCAAGGTAAATACATACTCTAACCCTATCTTCTTTAGAAAATGTAACGCTGATTTTGTTTTTGTCACAAAATCTTGCTATAACAATGTCACTCATAATGGCTTTCATGTGAAACTGGTAATTTTAACATAGTTAAAAGATCATTAACACACCAGGTATTAATTGGCTCACCTTTTCATGAATTTTATGTATTATTATTACAGATTATAATCAGTTTGTAAAGTAGATTTTGCTTCTTTTTTTTAAATACATATTTATACATCTCATTCTTTTCCTTGTTGACACTAGCACATTGTGCGTCCTGACTATATTGGCTCTGAACTGATCCCCGAGTGGCCTGACTACATCGAAATTAAAGATCAAGAGCAAATCGAAGGACTGGCCAGAGCCTGTCAGCTCGCCAGACATGTTCTTTTAGTGGCTGAAAGCAATGTGAAGGTGAATGAAACAATTTAGTCTTTTGTTCGTTGTTGCTTTTTTAAAAAAAGAAACAAAACTGTATAAGTAAATAATCAAACAAACATGTTTTACCTGTGACTTACAGGTTGGTATGACAACAGATGAAATTGACCTCATCGTGCATCAGGAGATAATCAAACACAACGCCTACCCTTCCCCTCTTAGCTATGGGGGTTTTCCCAAGTCAGTCTGTACTTCTGTGAACAATGTGGTCTGTCATGGAATTCCTGACAGGTAACCATCCAGTACCCTCAGTTTTCATCAATTCCATTTTCGTTGTACACCACGCTTACCTTTTGAATTCATGTGTTTTGCAGTCGACAACTCAAAGACGGAGATATCATCAACATAGATGTAACTGTAAGTTTTCTAGAAATACACATGGACACATTATAATTTGGAACAACACTTGTCCCTTGACTGAACATTTCATGTGCCACTTAGGTGTATTTAGATGGTTACCATGGCGACACCTCAGAAACCTTCCTTATTGGCCAGGTGGATGAAACAGGGCAGCAATTGGTAGAGACGACCAAACGTTGTCGGGATGAGGCCATTGCAGTCTGCAGACCAGGCGCACCGCTCTGTGTCATAGGAAACACAATAAGGTACAAGCAAGTATTAGTCATATTGTAGCACAATCGCAACTCGCATTTTGATTCACAATATGTTCATTCTGGATGGTTGTTAGTAAAATAGCCCAGGAAAGTGGTTTTGAAGTATCGCCGTACTTCATTGGACATGGGATAGGAACACATTTTCACTGCCACCCTGAGATTTGGCACCATGGTGAGTTCAGCTATAAAGTTCTGTTGACCTACTGAGACAATGGGTTGTTGTCCTAGACAACTCTGTTTCTGAGATATATTATTAATCGTGTATTTTAAGTGTTGTCATCATGAGGTCTGGGACTTCCCAATTTACAAATAAAGCCCTGATCACAGCTGATTAGACTGTGCAAAAAGTGATTCTGTCCATAAAGTCATACAGCTATATAAGTTGAGGACAATATTATTTATTATAAATAAATGATTTAAAAACATAAAGCAAACAATGTCCTTGTATCTTATGCAATAGAGTGGGCCTTGTCTGATGATACATTCATTGTTCAATTGAAAAAAATATATTGTCTACTGACTAGCTTCTGTCTAATCTTATTGTTTTCAGCGAATGACAACGACATGACCATGGAGGAAGGGATGGCCTTTACAATAGGTGATATTCGTTAAGTTAGATGAATTTAAACAAAAACCTTCTGCTGCTGCGTGACTGTGGCGCTGATGCTGCCTCTTATTCCACAGAGCCCATAGTGATGGAAGGTTCAGTGGAATTCAGAATCCTCAAGGACAAATGGACTGCTGTGTCGGTGGATGATAAGAGGTAAATACAATGTAAATAATTACCAAATAATAATTTTAATTGTTGAAAACAATAAAAATAAATGTAATAAGTATTACATCAAGGGCAAAATTTAATTCATATTTACATTGACTCATGGGAGGTTTGCGGCCCTCAAGTCAGGAGTTTGAGACCTCTGTCTTGCTTCAAATATTAATGTTTCTGTTTTTCTTTGACTTCCCTTCAGATCTGCTCAGTTTGAACATACGGTGGTCATCACATCAGATGGAGTGGATATCCTCACCAAACTGCCAGAAGAAAACAATGTGACCAAAAGTTGACGGGGGACTTTTAAAACATTAAATAATTTTTACAAAGGATATAGTTGACCCATCAATGTGTGGATTTTTTAAAACTACCTAAATAATTACAATGGTTTATTTATATGTATTTGACTGAGTAATGTCCAAATGTCTGTTTTTATGTGTGGAAGTCAGTGTGGCTGACTGTATACTGTCTGAATTGACTGTTTTACAATATGTATATATATATTTAAATATTTGACTCATAATGATAAAATATGAAATATAAAATATATATAAGTGGAATTCTGTATTTCAGAGCGAACCCCTCGAAACTAGCCAGTAGATGGCGGCACATGCTTAAACTAAATCCCATTATTGCAAGTCACGATTCCGTATGCTATATTTCTTCCTCTGGTACACAGCAATATGTTCATTTGACAACAGTCCCTATGTAATGTTTGGCCTTTATCCATCTATTAGGCGACATGACGCTGTAGTAAAATTTTAAACGTTTAATACTGTTAACAGTGTACCATTAACCAGCCACAAATCTAGGGAGTTGGAAAACATGGTAGCAAATAACATGTTCATAACAAAAACCAGCTGAATCAAAAAAAACAACAACAGTGCTGCCCAAGGTTCTGAATTCCAGGCATAACAATCCAGACTCTTCCTTTTCCTTTCCAGTGCCGGTCTCCGTCTACAGGAGCATTCGATCGAGAACTACTCATAACAGAGGGGGAGCTACAACCAATGAGAGAAATGTGCAAGCATTTTCTGCTGCCTGTCACTGTGATTAAAATATATACAATGCAGTGTAGTATATTTGATTTATGTTTGTTCAAATGCTTAAGCAAAACTTGGTGAGGGCATAAGTTAAAATGCAGAACAACAGATAACTGCTGGCCTAATCTCTACTACGTTTGCACGGAGGCGCAGCAGTTCAGGGTGTAGATAATGCGAGTTTTATGGTTACAAAGGATGATAGTTTAAAAGAAAAAACATCATATGAAGAGTACTTGGATGTCAGCCTCTTAGAGGGTGTGTACTGATGTACTGATGCAGTCTGAGCATGCACGTGGGTCTATGTGCCTTCTTGACGCATGTCAATGCAAGTCGGAGGGTGAGGCAGGAAGGGTTTTGACAAATAAGGGAGGGTCATCTGATCTGCAGTCTAATCATGAGCTGCCAGGAAATGACTCATGTTTTTTTTTAATCATTTTATTTGGCACAGAACATCTGTTACTCAATGTACACGTACAGTATGTGACAATGTGATCATGTGTGTGATGGAATTTGAGCATCTTTTACAAAGAGGGACATTCAAATTGGTTAATGGCCCTCCATGAGGATATGGTTTTAAAAATTTTCAACCTGACATGCAAAGTGCGAAAAATATATTGGGGGAGTGGTCAACAAAGAGGAGAGCAAGTGAAGGCAAAGAGCAGACATGAGGAGGAGGAGGAGGAGAAGGAGAGGTGGGTGGTAGGGTAGGATTTAAGGGAGGAGCAGGGAGGCGAAGGGAGTGGCAGGGTGAGGTGTTGGATTGTTGTCATAGATATATCTCCCTCTTGCTTTTCATTCTTTTGCTGCATGTTGGGACATAGTTCTGCTCTCTCACTCTGCAGTTCTCCACTGGATGCTTCTGGTTATGTACAGAATCCTCTATGGAATTCATTTGGAGCTGTGTATGTTGAAAAATATTCCAGTGAAGTATGATGAATGTTCTGGACCGGAGCCACAAGATTTTTCCCCCCAATGATATAAATGAATTCTACAATATGATCAAAAAACAATAAAATAATGTTTTAAACCTTTGTTTTCAGCCAGCGTGTATTATATATTGTATTCATCCCTCATAAGTATAAGAAAATAAATAATGAATCGTACTGTCTGTGTTAATTCATGAAGTATCTGCTGCTCATTAAAAATACAGCGTTTATTACTATGACTCACACAACTATACTGCAGTTATTGTGAGGGTTTTGCACAGAAGCTGTGCAGACACACTGATGGTGAACATACAGTCATTCAGACACATGTGATTTTAATTTCTGCAGCATTCATTCCTGATACAGCCAATATGCACAGCCCCTCTCCCCCTCCACACACACACACACACACACACACACTATCTCCCCCGCCTCTCTTTCCTCTCACTTTGTTATTCTGTTTTCTTCTTTCAACACATTTACTATCTACCACATTACGCTGTGCTGAGACTGTGCTGAGTTACTGTGGGCTAATGTTTTCAGCTCAGCCCATGGTGTTGCACTGCACAGATGTGTGGATCAAATTCACAGTGCATCCGTGTAAAAGTGTGATATATCACACCTACCTGGGATTTTACTGCACAGCACCACAGGAATTCTTGGTTTCCTGGGTGACCTGTCGATCTGGGGCTTCAACAAAGCCGTGGATCATTTTTAGACTTGTCGAAACAGACAGACACACACATGCAAACACAAGACCAAACGGCACGTACTTCATCTCACCCAGGTACAATCCTGGTCCAAACACCTGAAGGCCACTCCAGTACAGCACAGAACAGTTTGGTGTGTTAGTCAGAGAGGAACATTCAGTGCAGCCGGACATGTAGCTACAGGCTGGTCATGAGTGAGTGAGTCTTTTTCGAAATGATAATAAAAAAAGCAAGTGGAAATTAGAGTTGTATGTTCTTTTAAAAGCCTTAGTTACAGTGTTAGAAACTACAAATATGTATCTATCTTATGGCCTTCCTGACACAAACTCTTTATATTCTTTATAAACTTTTTATATTCAGAAACAGTATGACAACCTGCATGATAAGCAAATCTACAGTGTGATTAGTGTCTGGCCCAGATTCACATCAGTACATAGAACAGTAAAACCCAGGATTGAACCCACAGTCTTCTGTTTGGATGACAGCCAAGCATACCTTCTGAGCAATCATTACTTGACATAGGCATAAATGTCTACATCCTAAAGAATAGCTGCTAATACAGTCGTTGCCATAGGGGTTAAATGGGGTTAAAGTGTCTGTCAGTTTAAATACCATGGTTACAATGGTTTACAGTACAAAACCAGAATATTAGGCTATTTTAAATAGGCTAATTTACATTACAGTACATAATTTGGGAAATACTTTAAATACCAATTAACACAGTTTACTTGAATTTCTAAAGAAAATTGCAATAATTGAAATCTGGTATATTCATGTTGTTTTCAACTAAACAGGCTCAGGACTCACATTGAGTAAGTAACTTGTGAGAAACTTTTTCTTGGAACTAGAAGATCAAATGTCTACTCATGTAGACTCTTACCATTTCACATGCTTTTGTTTTGCTTCCTCTTAAACTAAATTGTATGCATTCTGATAGGTCCACATATGAAGCATCACATAATAAATCTGCCAGGAGCGTGGATATCTTCATGGTGAGTCATTACAAAAAGATTTCAATGACCTAATTGCACCTTTGACTTTAACACTATCCATTTAGCACCTATAAGTCTGAGCCAAACTGGTGGACTGACCAACCTACTGGGTCCTCTCATTATCTCTCTTGGCAAAGCTTTACGGAGCAAAAACATGCGATTTGGTCCAGTCAGAGAAATCTGTTTCATCCTTTGTCAAATAGATAAAATGGTGCCAGCAAATACCAGGAACAGATGAGACTGATTACCAAACTCCTAATGAGCTTCAGCACATTTAGACAAAGGCTGTTTATCAGTACTCTATGATTAGTTCCCAGTATATACCCGTTAGAGATTAACAGTAAAATACGTGTTTCAGTGTAAACATGCTTATAAAATTGATAAAGCTCAGGAAAAGGCAAGGCACTGATTCACTGTGGTTGAAGAAGAGGTGACATGTGTGTGTGTATGTGTGTGTGAACTTGTGAAAGCCAAACTCAGTCCAGGTTAGGGTTAGGGTGGTTCAAGGTGGAAATCTTCACCTTCACCTTTGACCTCCTGACTCTTTCATTGCCAGGAATTCCTTTGGTCTTTTTAAAAATAGTGAAAATATTGTGAGGGGAGCCCCTGTGTGACTTTTTATGAGCCAATAAAAATACTTTCATTTCTGTTCCACCCTTTTTGTTTAAAAAAAAAAATACAAAGTGCCAAAATGTGAGTAATGGTGTTGTTCGTGTCAGTGTGTGTATAATATAAACTGTCTGAGACTGATCTAAGAGGTTTCTGATAACAGTGTTTGTCTGCCATTATTACAGTCCAGTACACTGCCAATACTTATTGGGTTGGGATGTGAGAGGAGAGATATCCTTCTAGCTGTGGGCATGCCGTGTGTGAATGCATGTGTTTACTGAATCAAAACAGACGTCAACATCAGATCTACTTTTACACAAGTTAAAGTGACAACCTGTTTAAATATTTTGTAGCGCCTCCTTCAGGGAGGGTTTGCAAGGATGCAAACTGTGTTTAATAACAATAGAAATTTGGACAAGGCAAAGGTTCAGTTCTGCAAAATATTGGTGATAAGGTCTTCATTACTATTATGTAAAACACTGTTACAGAGATATATATTCTGTATAGAAGAGAGAGTGAGAGAGAGACAAAAACAGGTAATGAGAGAAGATGTAGTATTCTGTTACTATCTCAGGCACGTTGGCTTTGAGTTACATACTGTACCACTCTATTGTTCCTCAGTCCTTACACTTTTTATGTATGTTTTATATATGTTCTATATGTTTCCATGGTAACTTATACCTGCAAACTCAACAGTATAAATATATATATATAAATATATATATATAAAAAAATATAAAGGAAACGGCAAACTGATGTCTCTCTGTACTGTACTCTGCTGCTGTTAACGTGCTCAGCTTTGCATTCCCTAAATTAATATTGAATCAAATAAATATTTGCCACATTCATCCAACAAATGTACATGAAATGGAAGTGAAAAGTTGAATAACATGTTTTAGGAGGCACACCTGGGAAACTGGAGTCCTGCCCACAACTAGTACCAGCTCAAATTACTTTACTTTGGTCAGGTCAGACGCACTCACTTACACACACACACACATGCACAAATGCACAGGCATTTACACAGAACACAGGTTTCTGATCATCCCTAGGGTGTAACAGTGTAACGCTGTAACAGTGTAACTGTAGGGCTGGACAACAGACGACTTTAAATACTCATTATTGACTGTAATCAATACACTGATCAAGGCGGACAGATGATCTGTAACAGGCCCTTTTGTGTGGGTGCGAGAGAGAGAGAGAGAGAGAGAGAGAGTGTGTATGCACAGGTGTGTGTGCATTAGTGTATAGCTACTTCAGAGACACAGGATCAATAGTGTATAAAAAATTAGACATTATTTGTCCCCACTATGTCACATGAAAAGTAAAAAAGTTTGATTGTTTGATTATTTTGTTCATGTCAAAAGTACTGGTTGTTGTTGATTTATTTTGTTGATTTATAACATTATTTATTAATCTGATTTATAATTTAGCAAATGATGGGGTATTTATGAATCATAAAAATTCAAATCATGCATCAAATATTCTTATAATTCCAGATGATGACACGGGAATATGACATTTAGGAACTGCAGCGCTGCACCAAAAGTGTCAACAGTGTTGGCTTTTATTATTTACACTTCTTTATGCCTCCAGTCACCCATGATTGAATGACCTGGGGTTTAACTTTGTTATGATGATGCGTGTGTGAATTTTAATGAAACTTTCTAGCAACACTTTCAGCAAGTGTCATGTCTGTCTGTTTCTGTGTTTTCCTGTTGTCTTTAGAGACATGCTACAGCACCACACACCTTCTAAATTTACACTGAAAACGCCTGACTGTAACATGAGAAACGGCCCAGTCAGCAGAACTCATTATTCAACACTCCTGCATGCTGCTGTTGTTGAAAACATACTATAGTATGTTTCAGACATAAATTATGTGATTATATTTACATACTTTCATAATCAATAATGTTCAGGAAAGATGCATCACATCGATGTGTTCACACATTTGTGATTGTGAAACAAAAGTTATTGTGTGTGTGTGAGAGAGAGAGAGTCTGAGTGTGTGTGTGGGTATGACTAGCCCAGGGCTACAGAATTCTACAGTATCATAAAAACGCACAGTGCCACACCCTAAGGTGAGTGTGTTTGTTTCCCTTCGTGTACCTACGGCTACAAACTCCAGAACAAATACAGGGCTGTGGCTCAGGCGAGTTCAGACGCTGCGTTTTCAATGTTTTCACCACCCATGTGTGTCAGAGTACACAAGTGTCTTTGACACCGCAGGGAAAGTTTTTTTAAATGTAGTTAGATGTTGAAACATGGTACAGTTTGTACTGGAAGTCGACTTAACAATTTCTCACTTAGTAATACTGTGTTATAAGGACATGTTATGTTCATATTTTATTATTGGAACAGAATGATAAAAAAAAGGGAATTTTACTTACACGGTCATGAAGTACTACTTCATTTGTGTGTTCTTCCAGGTAACAGGAAAAGGGAAAGTGAGCCCCACTGAAGATCTATGGATGGAGGCTGATGATTGGTTCACACTAACACACTAGCGACTGAAAGAAGAAGAAAAAAGCTTTAAGGGTGAACAAAGGGAGGTCTGTGCCTTAATACAGTATTACACAGACGAAACACACATAATCTTACACACATTCTGCTGAACTTGCAGCAAACACACCTCAACTTACACTGCACTTACTATCAGCAACAGGTAGAATCCTGTTTTGTGACCTTGTGGGAACATAATCATAAATCACTGCTCTAGTTTACTTCTGTGCCATTTTGGAACAGTAATGTTAGCATGTACTGGACAGAAGCAGAACTCACTGAAGCAAGTTATGATTTCATGAACAAAAGACATTGAATTAAATCACTTGAATCCAATTCTCGTATAGCAAATAAAGCGGGTGCCTAAAGAACCGAACTATGCTCAGTTCAGAACCACATTCCACGCTTGACCTTTTCCTCGCTGCGTCCCCCTCTTCCACCATTATTTCTGTCTTTTACACTGTATGTGGGCCGTTTCTTTCTCTGTCTGTCCTCTTTCTCTGTGCGCAGACAAAGCTGGTGTTGTCTGCTGACAAGCTGTTTTGAGAGGACAGCATCCAATGGAGTGTTACCAAGTGAGAGTGTGCTAAAATTCATGTCCAATCTGGTCTCAGCTTTTTCTTCTCTCCCATACTCACCCAATGAGTCAACATTACAGTCACAGGTGCTGTGGTGATAACACGTCAGAATATGAGTGTGAACTCCGGATGGATTGTGAGTAATTGTGAGTCTTTTTCATTGATGGAGTTGAAGATGCCAGCTACTGATGTGCAAACACAGGAATAATGTCCAAAGCTGTTAGTTTAATTTAATTAATTAATTATTCTTTAATAATGTGGTGGCATTAAGGTTAGGTTCTACTAGTTTTTAAGGACACCCGTGAACCCTAATACCTGCACCCCCTCAATTTCATTGAGACACCACTGTTCATAGGGACCAAAGCCTGGTGTTAATGAGGCAGAATGCTATTTGTCAGAACAATAGTTCCAGGGTTGAGTTGTTACTGATTGGGTTTTATTGAAGTTAAATAAATGAATGGACGTTAGTGCAGTCCCCCGCAGAAGGGTGTGTTGTTTTGCGTGTGGGAGGGGCGCCTGCGTGGGTGGGAGAGGAGTTCTCTCCCGTTGTGGGAGCAGTCATCCATTCGCTGCACCTCCTTCAGTCAGGACTCACCTTTCACCAGCTCTGAGGACTTTTTTTTTTAACATTCTCTCTCGTGTGTACGTGCGCATTTTTGCCATGGATTCCAGACTCACCTGTGGACCGTGGCTGCTGGTTGTCCTTTTAATGGGATGTGGGAGACTGTGGGGTTTCAACCTGGACACCGACAACGTCCTGAGGAAGACCGGGACCGAGGGCAGTCTGTTCGGCTTCTCCTTGGCCATGCATCGGCAGCTGAAACCGGTGGATAAGAGAATGTAAGTGGGAGAGTTTTGGCAATAGTGAATGAGGCTCTGAGTAAAGTTTCCAGTCTGTAAATCATGCCACGTTAAGTCTTTAAAATAACTTCAGTAACCTTATAATTAACACTAATGTCACGACGGTGACGGAGAGTCAAAGTTCATTGTGGGCGCCGTAATGAAAAACATCTGAAAACATTTAAATGTAAAATGTTAGGTGTGACGTAGGTAGTTTAAAAACAAACAAACAAACAAAAAAACACAGTTGTATATATTCACCTGCTGTCCCTTTAAAACACACACCCTAACCTTTTGTTAGTTTGTGAACTTCCAGGTTAGTCATTTGTCTTGTTTTTTTTTTTTTTCCAACCTTTGGTCCCTTTCTCCAAAGGGTTTTTAATGAGACTGTTTTAAATTCACCCAAAACACCTCCTTGAATCATTGTTGGCATTTTTATGGGCACTAAATCAGAGGGATTTGTCACTTTGCATAAAGGCTTAATGACGGTCAGTGGTCACTTCTTTGAATAGTCAGCATACAAATTGACCAGCGGCCAGAATGAGGCAAATTCTTTAATGTAGCACGATGTTGGTTATAAAAGAAGAAAATAAATACAATAACAACAACACATTTTACACAGGACTAACTATCTCTGCAACATCAGAAATGTTTGCAAAAGACATTGTAATTAAACACATTCAATAATTGGATACAGAACATATATAACCATTAATCTACCACCACAGTAATCAAGCAGGTGCTTGAATACAGGTCTGCAACCATAGACTGCATGTAAAAATGGACTTTTCAGACAGAGCATTGGTCAATAAGGTGGATGGTCAGCTGTCTACTCATATTCACCTCATGGTCCCTAACTAGAAGATACATGGTTTACTAAAAATGATTCATTACAACAAAACAAAAAAAATCCCATCTTATGCTTGGGTTTCTTTACAGATGTATCAACGTATCAATTATTTACTTGATTGATGGAATAAATGATCATCTGCCCATAGAACGACAACATCTTCAAATTATTTGTTTTGACCACAAACAACAAATATTGAGTTTAATGCTGTGGTGGAAAGAAGACAATATTCAAGCTAATGGCTTTCAATATTAGGCAGAGTTTTAATGAGTTTATACTAAATTATTGACATTTAAAAAATCCTAGTATTTGTGTTTGCTCTACATGTAAAAATAGGTGAATATGTCTTAGTTATAACCATGTGAATTGCACTATATTTCAAGTTCAAATGTGTTTTTGCATGTTTAAGCAGGAAGCCATGTTGGTTCTGCAAGTGACTGCTCTTACAGAAATGGAATGTGCTCTCACCATGAAGTGTGTATTAGTGACTTTGAGTGTGTGTATGTGTGTGTGTGTGTTGGTTGGTTTCAATGGTGCTGTGGCTGAGAACTGAGGCGTTGCCTTGTCAGGCATCTCGTACTGTTCTCTTCAATGTGCTTAAAACTTTTTCCTAACCTTGGGCAAAGACAGATGGATAGACAGATAGATATGTCTTTTCCCTTGAGGGTTGATGTAACTGTTAATGCGTGGGTCTCTGCTGCAGGGTGTGCACCATGACTCAGAATAATTTAGCCTGCATGCCAACATTTTTATTCAGACTAACCGATGTATTTCGAATGACTTATGCCCCACAGCCAGTGTTGTTGCATGTACCTGTAGGAGTGGACAGGAGCTGATGGGATGTGGATTGATGTGTGATTGAAGTGCAATATATATTTAATCATAGCCGGAATGGCCATGTGATAAGTTCGATCGAGAGGGGAAATGTGAAGGTAAGGGGAAGAACTAGATTACCATTGGGGAGCATAGTAGCAAAGGGAAAATGAGCCTGAATCAATGGTGCTAGTTATAAGTTATAGTTCATTATTATTTGAAGACTCAACATACAACATTAACCTCAATACATTTATTCTACGTCTGTGCCCTATGTACACACTGCTAAAGCTGGATATCACTCAGGATGAACCAGTGCAGATCTGCAAGCCATTTGTTGAGTTCAAGTTGATGGGCTGCCACTGCCTGTTGCTAAGCAGTGGGCTGTGCCCGGACTGGCAGCCAGCTTTTTGGCTGTTAAAGAACAGTACAGTACATTCCATACAGTTAAATGGGATGCCTCTGTGTCTGTGTCTGTGTCTGTGTGTGTGTGTGTGTGTGTGTGTGTGTGTACGACTATCAGGGTAGCCCTGTATGCCACAGTATGTGTATTCCTGCACACATGCCCAAAGATAAACTTGCCTCTGTTTGGCTTTGTCTTTCCTGTGGCTTAGCAGAAGTGTGACTGCTTCCTCTACTGGTGGTTAATGATTAGATAAACACATGGGTCATAGTCAAGGAGCAGCAGGTCACTTATATCATGGTGAACAAGACTTGAAATGTCATGTGTAAATTGTTGATTTAGCCTTGAATATTTACCTAATTTTATTTAAGTTGTCTATTTATTTATTTTATTTACTTTATTTTAAAACTCATTGTTTAGTCTTAGTCTAAATGATTTTAAATAGGTGTTATATAATGGTGAAAAATCATTTCATGTAACAGATTCCTAACCCTTGTTCTTAATGCGTTTTGTGTTTTCTATTATCCTCTTATTTACTTTCTTGGTTTCCTTCAGGGGTCACAGCAGCAGGCTCTTATCTCCTGCCTTGTCTACTGTTACTCCAACCATCCCCATGTCCTCCTTCAGTACATCCATAAATCTTCTCTGTCCACCTCCTATTTTCTTCCAGTCCGGTAGCTGCATCCCTGACATTCTTGTCCAATACATTGACATGTCCAAACCATCTCGACCTTGTTGTCTATCCTCACCATCAAACAGCTCACAATAACATTAAGCATAACCCTCTGACCTGCTAATTTCTCATTCTGCCATTGAAAATCTCAGACCATACACCATCTCTTTCATACCTTAGCTACTCATCACCTCCTCATCACCTCTGTTCCCTTTACCATCATGTCCATTTAGGTTTTTTTTTCTTTGGAGAAATAGCACATTAGCGTCAACTCCTTACCCCTCGTCAGAGTTGGGAAACAACAGCCGGAGTGCAGAGTTTACTCCAGGCTATAAATGTCAAGTGTCAGATTCACTGCTCTAAAGAATACTAAATTGGACACAAAATGACCTTGCAAATTACAGTGTTCTGGTTTTTGAAACAGGGCCAAACCAATCCAGTGGTTATAATAGAATAAACAGTGTCAAGTTATCCACCATTCATTTTGTGTTTCTGTGGCGATGACTGCCTTTTTTCCCCCTGCAGTATACTGTAGTGAAATTAGGTCACACTTTGTCACTGTTTCTTGCAAAACACATCCAAGCTGATGCAGCAGAGATTGTGGGTCTCTTCATGAAAATAAGCTGTATTTGTATATGTCACATAAACAGATTTACTGTGCTTCACTAATCACCACCACGCCTGCTGAAGTCAGATCACATTGATTTACACTCTTAAAAAGTCGCTTTGTGTAAAAAAAAAAAAAAGTTTTGAGTTTAATATCTCATTCCTCATGCCTTTGGTGTTTTGTGGTTTTTCTTAAATGAACACAAGCCTGTCTCACTGTGCCATACAACATTAATGATATCAACTCTGACTCCACACCATACACCATAGATTTGCATTCCATACAAAAATGACTTAACTTAGCTCACTGGGCGACTTGTACTGATGGAGGTACGTCATCATAAAGCTGACAAAAAGAGAGAGTAGCAGAATATGCAACTATACCTCCTCTGTAAACATTGACATGTTAATTTACTCCACAGGAAATCCTGAGAACTAGTTGTCCATCTTCAGGGCTTGGGTGTGGCTTTCACCCTTGTCCTTTGTTCACAACGGCAGTCTGTGTGAATGTGCACATGGCTGAACACTAAAGAGGAAGAAAATCAGTTTCAATCAACTGTGGCAGGCTTGAAAGGGGTCTTTGATTCTGTTTGGCTGTGAGGACATGGAACATCAGCTTGATGGCGGATGCGGATGTGTGTGTGTGTGTCTGTGTGTGACCCAGTGCACTGGAATGTATTCTAATGTGAGGACTAAATACGGGAAATGTCATCGTGCAGAGAAGTGTTTTTTCACAATGTAAATCTGATTGTGTTGCATTTAAGGGACTCACGTGTTCGTGTTCTGCAGGTTGCTGGTGGGAGCACCGAGAGCAGCGGCCATCCGGGGTCAAAAATCAACGGTGACAGGAGGACTCTTCAGCTGTGACATGAGCTCCTCTGCTCCTTGCACACGAGTAAACTTTGATAATGATGGTGAGGTGTTTTGTTCGACCGTTCACGGCCATTGTTATCATCACAGTAGGCTTTATGTGTCACTTTTCTTCTGTCGCTGTATAGAGGACCTAAAGAGGGAGAGCAAACAGAACCAGTGGATGGGAGTAACTGTCAGCAGTCAAGGGCCTGGAGGGAAGGTCATGGTAAGTCTGCCCATCTTTGAATTAAAAAAAACATTCTACAACATCCATCCAACATGCTTTATGTCATCTTAGCCACGTGTTTTTTTGTTCCCTGGTAGACTTGTGCGCACCGGTACCAGCGCAGGACCAATGTGAACACAACCATTGAATCCCGTGATATTATTGGTCGTTGCTATGTGCTGAGTGAACACCTGGAGATTGATTCACTTGCCAGTGAAGATGGAGGCACTTGGCACTTCTGTGACAGCAGACCTCGTGGCCATGAGATGTTTGGCTCCTGTCAGCAGGGTATCTCTGCCACTTTTGACAAAGACTACCACTACCTCATTTTTGGGGCTCCTGGAGCATACAACTGGAAAGGTGGGCGTTTTATCGCATGATCTTTTCCATAGTTAATCTATGGCATCTGATTTTCATCATGCTTCTGTTTCTGATTTTTAGGAGTGGTGCGCTTAGAACAAAAAAATGACACTCTCTTAGAGAAGGGCATCTATGATGACGGTCCTTTTGAAACAGGAGATGAGAGCCAAAAAGACCCAGAGCTGGTTCCTGCTCCACCTAACAGCTACCTAGGTGAAACACACAGTTAATTAAAGTATTAGTATTCAAATCCTTTTTCTTTTTTTCTTCCATATCAACAAGCATTCTTTGTCCTCAGGATTCTCTCTGGACTCGAGTAAAGCTTTGACAAAGAAAGATGAGCTCATTGTGGTGGCAGGAGCTCCAAGGGCATACCACAGTGGAGCAGTGGTTTTCTTGAAGAGAGGCGCGGAGTCGAGCAACATCATGTTGGAAGAACACACACTGGAAGGAGAGGGGCTGGCCTCGTCTTTTGGTTACGACCTGACACTGCTGGATCTCAATGGAGACGGGTAAGCACTTGGAGGTGATTCAACTCCTTAAGAAATGGGCCTGTGTTGTAAACATGGGATGTTGTTGTGTACTAGCTGGCAGGATCTAGTGGTGGGGGCACCACAGTACTTTGAAAAGGATGGAGAAATTGGTGGAGCTGTGTATGTCTACATAAATGAAGCTGGCAAGTGGAGCAAAGTCAAACCAACTAGAATAGACGGAACTGAAAACTCCATGTTTGGACTGGCTGTGGAAAACCTTGGCGACATCAATCTGGACGGTTATCAAGGTGAGACTGCAGTCTGGATGCGTGTGTACCTTACTATAACAATGAGAGAGATTTATGTTTTGATAAAATGACTGAATAAAAAACAAATTTTGTCCTTATTTGTGACAGACTTTGCCGTGGGAGCTCCTTATGATGACGATAATTCAGGAAAGGTTTACATCTATGGTGGTTCAAAATCTGATTTCAGCTTTAAAAAGCCTACGCAGGTATGTGGAATATTTTGAGATCTATAAAGTAATTTAAAAAATACTTGGTTAATGATTCTATCTTTATATGACCTGGTTAATAATTGACCTGTTGGTCATTTGGTTCAGGCACAACGGTGGATTTATAATCAAGTTTTTAAGTTCAACAAATGTTTTAAAACGTTTTCAGCAAATGAGTCGGTATTTGCTATATTATTTGCTTATACTGTGTATATGTTATTATAGGTGCTGTCTGGACAGCCTTTAGGAATCACGTTGTTTGGCTACTCTTTGGCTGGAAACATGGACCTGGATAAGAACTCCTACCCTGACCTGGCAGTGGGATCCCTCTCAGATGCTGTTTTTGTCTACAAGTTAATAAACTTTTACATAATTCTGAGAAAGCTTTTCTCATTATGTGTCCTACTATGACTGAGCTCCATCTGTGTTTGGTCCTTTTAGAACACGCCCAGTGATTCACATCAAGAAAGATGTTAAGTTCACACCGGAAAAAATTGATTTTACGAATATGAACTGTGCCAAAGGTATCTGGTAAGTTTTCGAGAGAAATACAATTTGTTTCATTCTATCTGGATCTATTAGACCTAAGGTGTAGAGGAGATTTACTGAGTACAGGGGGTCTTTGGTTTACAACATTAATTAAGAAAGTCTTGTTCCATCATTCCAACGTATGGCAGACATGATGAATTAATCGTCATGCAGCGCTGTACACAGAAGACAGCTTTGTTTATTCACCTGTTGTACCCCAGACCTCTGAGCACAACTCAGACTCTCCTAGATTATGATGTTAGCACTGAGCATAAAATCAAGTTACACAGCACCATAGAAACAGAATTCTGACGTAAGTCAAGGACCCCCTGTATTTATTGGAATCACCACATATTCTGTGAACATTGATCAAACAAATCGATTCTCTCTTTGTCACTAGCTTAGATGTTGAGGCCTGTTTCACCTACAGTGCCAAACCCAAGAGCTACTCTCCAGAACTGAGTAAGTTTAGGCATGCTTCACTTTGTCCTAGCTAACTTTATCTTACTTAACTTACTTTTTGTGACATGTCCCTTCTAGCGATTGCATTCTCCCTCGAGGCTGACAGTGACCACAGGAAGCCTGGTCTCAATTCTCGAGCAGTCTTCTCAGACTCTTCCTCAGACAAAAACTACGAATCCAAAGGTGTCATGATCTTGAAAAAAGGAGAGAGAATGTGTCAAACACGACAGCTGAGCATACCGGTGAGTAGTTGCCCTCATCATAAAAGTGTAGAGTTATGTTTGCCAACACTGGCTAACATGGTCGTCTTACAGGGAACTATTAAAGACAAGCTGCATGGGATTCCCATCGATGTGTCTGTGGACATTCAGGAAGCCAAACGTAAACGCAGACAGAGCGCCGCTCCTCTAACCCCGGTCCTGGATGCCAACGAGCCATCCAGCCACCGTGCTGTGGTATGTACAACTGTGCTACTCTTACCATGATAGCAGATTTTAAACACACTTTTTATACCACAGGTGATGCTGCAGGCCCTGTAATGTATATATAATATATTTTATATTTACAGGTGCAGTTCTCTAAGAAGGGGTGCGGCGATGATAATTTGTGCCAGAGCAATTTGCAGCTGACGTATCGCTATGGCCACAGGTCGACTGACGAGGGCACCTTTGTTCCATTAAAACTGTAAGAGGGTACCTGCATGAGCAAGTCAGCACACTTAACGCTTTAATCTGGAGTTTTATTTGGTTTGGTCAAACCCTTTGACTTCTGACCTCTTTCCGCATTGAAGGGACAACGGAATGCCACTGATTTCCCTCAGCAGTCAGAAGGACATTGCCTTGGAGGTCAAAGTTACTAATCTCAATGGAGATGAGGCCCATGAAGCCTCTTTGGCTGCAACCTTCCCTCGCTCCTTGACATACTCTGAATATCACATTCACATTGCACCGAGTGTGAGTCTCTTTTCTTCTGACAAACAATCTCCCATACGCACAAGTCTGTTCTGACCAGCACTGTCTTGACTTGCAGGAGCGGCGTGTAAGCTGTATAGCCAACAAAGATGGTTCAAAATTAGAATGCGAGCTTGGAAACCCCTTCAAAAGTAACTCTGAGGTAAGAGGAAGAATATTTGGTCTCGTTCACATTCTCTCATTTGTCATCGAGCAAGTCACAGCTGATTAACTGTGTGTCTCTTTGTTTAGGTGATCATCTACATTATTTTGGGAACTGCAGGCATCTCTTTTAACAATACAGAACTAGAGATTGATCTCCAGCTTAAAACGTCAGTATATTCATTTCCTCTCAATATAAATATATTGACATCTTTATTTTTGTGGGTTATCTATTTTAGGTGTTTATTATTGTCACAATTTATTGAGCCAAATTACCATTCAGCTGAAAGAAAAAAACAAAAACACATTTTCACCGTTGTCAATTAACCTCTTTGAACAGTGTGTATAATCTCTGATTAAACAGGACAAGTGAACAGAAGAATATAGCTCCTGTCAAAGCTAAGGCAAAAGTGGCCATCCAATTACAGCTCTCTGTATCTGGGTTAGTAAGAAGCACACTGACACACACACACACACCCACAGTATACACATGCACACACAAAAACACGAAGTTCACGGCACATTAACTTTGCATTTCATCTTTTCAGACAAATCCAGCCGTCTCAGGTCTACTTTTCAGGAAAGGTCAAGGGTGAGGCTGCCATGAAAACTGAGAATGACATTGGCAGTGCTATCACTCATCAGTTTAGAGTTAGTAGCACTTAACAATGTATCATTTAATTTAAGTTGTTTGTATTTCTTAGTAATTATTTTTATTTTTTTCCTAACAGATAATAAACCTGGGTAAACGTCTAAAAGACTTTGGCAGCGCTGAGCTGAACATCAGGTGGCCCAAAGCCATAGAGAAGGGAAAGTGGCTTCTGTACCTGATGAAGATCAGCTCCACAGGAGTTGAACAAATGGCCTGCACTCCTAAAAGTGAGATCAACAGTCTTGGCCTGGTCAGTGAGACTTACTGTCCTGTTTCTTTTTTAAAAAGAGATGCATTTCCACACAATAAAAATGAACGCAAAAACTAAACAAATTTTGATTTTAAGGAACCGAGTCGGACCAGATCGAGAAGATCAGCCACAGCTCCCAGTGGAAGTGGAGAGGGCACCATTGCTCGTTACGAGTCAAAGCAATCATTAACTTTGGTAAATACATGTAAACTCTACTGAAAATTATTTGTTGTTTTCTTCCAGCTGGAGAGTAGTGTTCTGTGACCTTTTATTTTTCCTTCTCCTTTTTTGCGAGTCTAGTCGTGTGAAAACGGAGCCCGATGTGTGACCATCAAGTGCCCACTACGGGGCATGGATAGTAATGCAGTCGTTACTTTGCATTCCCGCCTCTGGAACGGCACTTTTATTGAGGTGAAACCATGATTTACTTACTAAAGTACTGTCCTCGGTCACTGTGATGTATTTTTAAACAGTTCATATTTTGCAAAACCACCTAAATATTAATTTTCTTAGTTGTGTTATCATAACTGCTTCACCTTTTTCACTGCACAGGAATACTCCAGCTTCCATCATGTTGAGGTAATCGTAAAAGCTTCACTACACATCGACAGCACAGCAAAGAACACGTTCCTGTCAAATGCAGAGACACAGGTAAAAGCACTAATAAAAAAGATTTTATGTATAAGACATTGTATTAAGCTGTGTTAGAAACCATAGACCATGCGTCTATAGGAAATAAAAAAAAAAAATAGGTTTGATGTTTGAATACTGCTGCTGTACCGTGTTGCACAGGTGAAAATGACGGTGTTCCCGGAGACACGAGCTTCCTCCCAGTACGGAGGAGTTTCATGGTGGGTCATACTGCTGTCCATTCTACTCCTCCTGCTGTTGTTGGGCCTGCTGGCTTTCCTACTATGGAAGGTAAGGAGTTAAACAACTACTACACCTCCTG